CTCCGAACTTCTTTCAAACGATGAACCTCTTGTTACAACAAATGTCAAACTTCGTTGGCCAAGCTAACTTCGTTCACTTGACAAACCTCGACAGTGAAGACGAGGTTCATCAATCCAGCAAAGCTCGTTGGTTAAAATGAGGTTCGTAGTTCATCATTTGAAAACGAAGTTCATCATGTAAACGAATTTCGTTTAAATCTCAAGGAAGACCCTCATCAAGATAGCCAACACCGTTGGACATGTGAGATTCAACTAGCAGATAAGACTCATCAAAAGATGAGACAGATCATAGAGATGACCATCATCGATGGCGAGCCTCATCAAATCAAAAAGACGTCATCTTTATGATGAGTCTGGAAGAGACTGTTCATCTCCCTCAAGAAACCCAATTTCTAAAATAGACAGAGTTGGTATCTTTACGAATGCAAATCATGTGTTTAGATCTATTACCTGAGAAAGAATGTTGAATAGCGGGTTTGTGTGAAGAACCGACGACCTTCTTGCCCTTGTCCTTGCTTTGGTCTACAGCGGTCTTGGGAGCCATTGATTTTGTTTAAAGAGCTCGCGAAGAAGAAAAGATTGAAACTTTGGAAGAGAAGGAGTTCAGATAACCCAAACGACGAAGAGAAGAAAGAACTTCTCATATGATAATGCTCTATATATAGGGGCGGGAAAAAGTCGAATCAAGAGTCATGATCTTCAGTTGAGATCGTTTGATGAGATCCCTTCCTAACAATATCTGCGGATGAGATCCAAGGAGATCTCTAAACACCAGTTGGCGACCATTTATTAGGTCTGGAAAAGGTGTGTAACAACATTGTTGGCGAAGCTATAAGGTGTCAGATGACTGTTATTCTGACAAAGCTCGTATAGAGGGACGAACTCCAAAATGAACCTCTGGGTAATATCCATGTTGAACCTCGTAGTAAAGACGAAGTTCATGATGAAACTAAGTTCGTCAGATAAACTTTGCAAGTTCAAGACGCCTGTAAGTATTCAAAGTGTTTCAAACTCCGCACAGCCTAATTCGAGTCTGAAAACTTTGAAGGGGGTTTTGTAGGCATTCAAAAATACCAAGCTTCAAAATATAAGGAGGGTCATTAAGTAAATGAACCTCATCTCGATCCAAGATGAGGCTCGTTGCTCAGCAAAGATCCACTTCCCAAACGGAACTCGCCACGCAGCGAAGCTCAACAAAAAAAGCAAATCTCGTCATTGGAAACGAGGTTCGACGTTCATCTTTGGAAGATGAGGTTCGTTAGTGAAGATGAAGCTCATCGTCAGACATAAAGCTCATTAGTGAAGATGAGGCTCGTCAAAAGGAAATTCATAAGACTTGCTACGTAGTTGAACTCAGCTGTCGAAGACGAGGTTCGTTAGTGAATACGAAGCTCGTCAGACGAGCGTCAGTGAAGACAGAGTTTGCTATACTATAAAGTTGGTCTTAGAAAACAAACCTCGCTGCATATCGAGGCTCGTTCAATCAGATGAACTTCGTCATGTAGCGAGGCTCGTCGTCCACATGAGATCTGGCTGTAACGACTCCGAAGACTTAGTCAGCCATGTGGGCTAATCTTCAGGAGCACGTTATGATACGTGCTGATTTGGAGGAGGCAGTTACGCCCCTCTACCCATGATTGTAGCACGTCGGTTACGTGCTTAAACCCTATAAATAGCCATGGATGGCTATAGAGAAAGTGGTTAGTGAATTGGTTCGGACTTCTAAAGCTTTAGATAATCATCAGAGATCAGAGCTCCTGCGCATAGATCTAGAATTCGAACCTCGATTCTAGCATTCTAACGAGCGTCAGAAGCTCTAGCAATCTTGTTCTGATCGTCAACGGAAGGCAATCTCGACTCAAGCATCGGGGGGAGCATCCTTTCACTACTAAGAACCCACGTTAAATAAAGAGGAGCTGAATTAATCTTCTCTTCATCTATAATCGAGAGAGAGTGTGAGTGATTGTGTAAGGGTTTCGTACCAAGTGATCGAACCCAATTTTCTTAAAACAAGAGAATCAATCCAACTTTAATTTTTCGACCCTACAAACCATAACTAAAAGTTTAATGGACATATTACAAGTAAATTCATATGCAAAATTCTTTTGCGAATTAAATGATCACTCATCTTTTGAATACTTTAAGATACTAATAAATAGAGATATTGTACTAAATTAATATGTTTATAACTCACAAATAGTAGATCACGTAGCCACAATCTCGGTTGAAGGAAAAAAAGACAATATTTTATTTGAGAGAGTGGTTATTGAGTTGATAATCAATCCCACAGAAAACTTTATTTTTTTTATTTTTACTTTCTTTTTATCAATTTAAATAATTATGATATTTAACCACGTGCATCTCAACTCATAATATTCAACCACGTGCATTGCACATGCATCTCAACTAGTACTAAAATAAGTAGTAGTGCTAGAAACTATTTTTCCAGGTTTTGATAGTAATAAAGAAAATATCATAAGTATTAAAAACATATCGTCAAATCTAGGGGTGGCAAACGGGTCGGGTCGGATCGGGTCATAGTTGACCCAACCCGTATAAGTATGACCCGACCCGAACCATTTAATAAATGGGTCAATGCGATCTGACCCATTTATTAAACGGGTTACCCGACCCGACCCGACCCATATAACCTGTAGAAATAGGAACCGCCATTAATTAATTAATCGTAATTGTTTAATGTACACATTAATCAACAGTTTAAAAGAAAAACGACTATTGTTTCTTTCTTCTCCTTGTTCCCCCCATTTTCTTTGGTTTTCTCAGATTTTTTTGCATATAAACCCCTCACAAATCTCCAATTTACATCTACTATCTGTCGAAGATCACCTCAATCTCCTATACAACTTTTCCATCGTCTCAAGCTTCATAGCTCAACTCTGATGAAGAGATTGAAGAGCGTTGAAGCTTTCAACCTTCGAAACCCTAGAAATTGGAAGCCCTCGTACTTCCTCATCGCCGACGCCGGCATCTACCTCCTCCTCATCTCCTTCAAGTTCCAACACTTCCTCCCACGTACGCACGCCCCTCACCCAAGCTATCGACCCCACTCCCACGTGTTAACCCTCTCCTCCCATAACGCCCTTCTTATTTCTACCCCTCAACTCCTCATCCCCGCTCCATTTCGAGCTCCTCCTCTGTTCCCCTTCTTATTTACCCAAATTAAACAAACTTAGAATAATTAGAAACTAATTAAAAGAATATAATAAAATGGAGGCGGAAACATACCGTTACATGGGGCGATCCATCTCTGACGTTGGCGGCGACAACTCCGGCGCTTTCAGCGACTGCAACTCCGACTGCTCTGGCGAGTTCCCCTCCTCCCCCGACGCCTCCTCCTCTCCTCTGACGAGCACCTCATCCGAACCCTAATCCGGGATCGTGCGGCCCGCTGTTGAATCTGATGGCGGATCCGGAGGAGGGGATGGTGGACAAGGCGGCCTACGCACTGCACACGGAGGCGGGGAACGTAGGTGGAGGAGGGCGTCGGTGGAGGCAGGGAGGGATCCACTGCTCGTTGAAATCGTTGAGGTTAGAATCCAACGACAGAAGGAGATCGCCACGACGATGCTGCTGATGATTTGTGATTTGTGTTATGCGGGTGGGTGTTTGTGTTATACGGGTCAGTTGTGTCAATCCGAATTGACCCGTTTAATAAATGGGTAAATTTGGATCAACCCATTTATGACCCGACCCATGTAACTCAACCCATACTCATTATAAACGGGTTGGGTCGGGTTGATGGGTCGGGTCATAAATTGCCCCCCCTAGTCGAATGCTTGTTGATAGCAGTGTCGACTGCCCTGTCGCGGGAGAAGCATGGGTCTATCTTTAGGGCCTGTTTGGATTTGTAGGGGGTGAAGGAAAGTTAAGGGAAACTGAGTGAAGGGAATGGAAGGGAAGGGAAGGGAGTTCCCTTCCCCTTGGTTACACCCCAATTTGGGGGGTAACAATTTTTATACTATTAGAGGGTGAACCAAGGGGAACTAGGGTGAATTAACTTCACCTCTAAGTGTTCCCAAACAAGGTGAATGGAGGTGAATGGTTCTCCTAACTTCCCTTCACCCTCATTCCCCTCAGGTGAATGGAGGTGAATGGTTCTCCTAACTTCCCTTCACCCTCATTCCCCTCAATCCAAACAAGCCCTAAGTTTGAGGCAGATATGTTTTTGCAAGATTGACGCAACATATATATCCTCTTTCAAAGATTCTACCGTTTTAATTATCACATCTATACTCATCCACAATTCTCTTTTTAATCCCATAATTACCCGAAGTACATAAAATGCTGATGCACCAAGAAGAGGATGAAGCATGATATTTAAAGTATTTTGATTACTTGAGATCCAGTTGCTGGTAGCGGGCGGTTATTAATTAGAAGTGAACATACACAGTTAGAGTTATTAGTTAGACACTGAACAGTAATAGATCTTAGAGTAATAGATCTTTTCTCGATTGGGAGCATAGAGAAAGATTGGCTTTTTTATTATATTATTAAATAGTCATAGATGGATCTTTTTACAAACTGGTTTGCCACCCGAAACTATTTAATCCGATCCGACCCGTACCCACTCCTCCTGACCCGATTGCCTCCTCATAACAGAAGGTCAGAAGCGCACCGTGTCTTCCCCCATGCCAAGCCCCTCATCTGTTTCTTTTCAAGTAAACAGAAGCCTCTCTCTCTCTCTCTCTCTCTCTCTCTCTCTCTCACATGAAGCCACTCCACCAAGACCTTCGCTTTATCCCCAAACCCTCTTCTTCTTCCCACCATCTCCCCATTCCCCTCTTAATTCCTTTCTCTTCCCCTCTCAAACCTAATCAACCCCAATCTTTTTCCTCCAAATTCTCGAACACCCATCTCCTGAATTCACCCAAAACCACATCTTTCTCCCATTTTGGAGCTACCCATTTCAAAAACTTTCTTCTTTTGACATCTTTGTCTCCTCGTTCCCTTTCGCCTGACCTTTGCTGGCTGGAAATTGACGCAATGTTCTGCGTAAGATCAATATAGAGTCTGCTCTCGTCTCCATTGATGACTTCTTCAACCGATATCCTTTCTTTGTTGCTGGTTGCACATTCATTTGGTTAGTTGTCATACCCCTGACTGAACAGTATTTTAAGAAATATAAGTTTATTTCGGCCATCGATGCTTACCGAAAACTTAGAGATTTGCCCAATTCACAGTTGTTGGATATCAGAAAGAAACAGAGCATAAATTTTTTGAGCTCTCCAAATTTGAAGGTTTTGAATAAGAGTGTGGTTCATGTTGAATTTGTTGAGGAAGAAGAGGAGGGATTTGCAAAGGAGGTTTTGAAAAGATTTCGTGATCCCGCCAATACTACTCTCTGTGTCCTCGACAGGGATTTGCAAAGGAGGTTTTGAAAAGATTTCGTGATCCCGCCAATACTACTCTCTGTGTCCTCGACAAGTGAGCTTCACAACTTTGAGTTATTTTAGATGCTATCTAGTTATTTGTTTTAAATCATAGGTAAATAATGCAAATTGCTTATGGAGACTGGAGTTCATAAATTTGCATGCTTCTAAGAGATTTATGACATTTAGAAAATTGCAAATTATATGATGTTGGATTTGACTATTTAAAAACAGGATAGTTATTTTCTTGAAGCCATTAGCAAATTTTCCGTAAGTTCATTTTAATCAAGAAAAGTTGGTCTGCCTGTAATATCCTTTTTTCTTTTAAGAAATTACCTGTAGCATTGTCTTGTAGACAGATTACAGTTTTTGTTTTATTTTTTATTTTTTTAAACTTTTTCCCTTCTACGTTTAGTAGCATCTGAGAACAGTTTGCTTATTTATCATGTATGAGATTATGTGTTGTATCAGTAGTTGTTGGTCTGATAATATATTGAAGTGGTTTAACTAAATACTTCTATTGATAGCTCCTGACACTGTTTTAAAAAACCTCCGCCTAGTCCGCTTAGGCGTACGCTCAGGCCTAGACGGTACCTAGACCGCCTAACTAGCGCCTAGCGCCTAGGCGGTATTTAGGTTGCCCATCTAGATTTTACGAGCGTTTAGGGAAGCATTGTCTGCTTACGTGGATTGCACCCTGTAGGTCTTGATTGTGATTTTATGTGTCGTAACCTACACATCCTCCAAACTCCATTAACCTCCAAATATGAACATCTCCACTACCTCCTCCGACCTTCAGCAATTAACCTCCAAATATGAACATCTCCACTACCTCCTCCGACCTTCAGCAAAACCTCATCGATCACCACTTAAATGAAGAACTCCACTACCTCCTCCGACCTTCAGCAAAACCTCATCGATCACCACTTAAATGAAGAAAGAAAAAAAAAACACCCAGAAACCACTTAGGCGTCCGCCTAGGCGACTAAGCGTTGGGCGCCAAGTCCGATGTCTAGAAGCGCTCAGCGTTTAATGTAACATTGGCTCCTGAAATCCTAATGTGAAACCCTTTTGTATTTTGAGCTGTTTTTACTTGTTTGTTTGAAGGAAATATTGTTCCTTCTTCCTTAATTTAGGAGCCTAGATTTTTATGTTAACGTCATTACGTATTTTGCTCTACAATTTGAGTTTTGAACAAAATTTCTTCATCTTGGAATGTGAAGGCACATAGGAGGATAATATAGTTTTGGTCCCTTGTTTCTCTGTTTTTATTTATTTATTTGGTGAATGTTCACAATATAGGAGGAAAATACTGGCACATACAATGGTTACAAGATATAGAACTACCTGGCCAAATAATTTGAAATTATTCAATAATAGAGAGGCTTAGTAGAGAGATAGATGTTGTGCTTTGAGAAGAGTTATCAATTTATGCAATTGTATGTGTTGCTTCTGTTATGTTTTTGCTTTTTTCCAAAGAATATCCATTTCTTTTAAACGGCGAGAAATAATGTGATGCACGCATGCATACCTAAGTGTGTATTGCCAGACGCACTTGTTACTTAGTTCTGAGTTTGCTGTGCAAGGTAGTTTTGATGGAAATTCTCTGAAGGTAGCCGAACTGTTGTTTAAAAATGGCTTTAAAGAGGCATATGCAATCAAGGGTGGACTTCGAGGAAAGGATGGATGGCAGGTTAGATTCTCTGACAATACCAGATATTGGTATCTTTTAATCTAAACACTCATTCTTTTATGGATCTTGGTTGAGGATTCTATAACTTCTACTCTGAAGAAGTCAGTTCTTAACTCCACTTTGAACTAGAACTAAGCAATGTTCAATTGCCACAAATATTTTCACTTTGAACTAGAACTAAGCAATGTTCAATTGCCACAAATATTTTCACTGACTTAAAGTTTACCCAATGATGGGTTCCCTTTGTTCCGAAGTTTGTTGCATGTTATTTTCAACAATGATGGGGATGACTGAATTCTCAATTTTCACAGGCCATTCAAGAAACACTTCTTCCACCATCTATGCATGTTCATCCTAGCAAAAAGGACAAGTCAACCATTCCGCTTGAGAAAACCAGTGAAAGGATAAACGAAAAGAATAATGGCAATGGTCAAGCACCATCTTCCAGCATAAAGCAAGAACATAAACAGAATAGTGAAAATGGATGCATAAAACCTATGGAAACATCTCCAGAAGCAAAACTGGCGAATGGAAGACCACTGTCACCTTATCCAAAGGTAGGACTTTCTCAAGTTCATGTTTAATGGATTCATTTGTTCGTTTTATGTTGTTTTATTGCCCATTTATCTATTGATTTAGTGCATAGATGCACCTGACTGCTCCTACATCGGCATAAAATTCACACTTTCAAGATCTATGAAGGCAATAATGGAAATCTTATGAAGAATTTGAGAAAATTTTTATTCTATTCATCAAGATACAAGTATGCCTATAAAAGGAGCAAAATAGAAGATGTAAATTGTGGCTGTTGCACTTGGTGATAGCTGTACTGATTCCTTACATGTTAAATACACCTTCCATACAATATTGATTCTTAAAAAGATGTGACAAAGCTACTTTGTGGAATAAACTTTAAGGCATTGGCATCATTAGTTTTCCCATGTGTAACAAAACATCGAAAGTATGTTTAATGTCCCCCCTAAGCTGATTATCTGATTTTGGTTATTCCTTTTGGCTTAATGGTGGCAAAGTGAACTTACCAAGAAGAAGTCAAAGTTCACAGGTTAGTTTTTATTTATCTCGCATCCTTGAGTTCTAAAACAGATACAAGGTGACATTATATGTTATACTCAACATCACAAGTTTAATAAACCCTTGAGAGTTGGCCACATTGTTAGACCCTAATGCCACTAGGAAAGAACCATAGAGAGAGTGAATAGGGTTTATGCTAATCTAATCCGATTTATACCAAATTAAAAACTTACTAACAAAATATCCTAGCAAGATTGATATTCAATTAATTATTAGCAAGGATATGTAAACAAAGGGCAAATAAACAAGAGTGATTATGCGCAAATAAACAATGCAAACATATATTATGATCACGGAGTTCGGTCCCCTCGACCTACGTCTCCGCTCCCCACTCCCAGGGAGAAATCCATTATCACATTGGGTTTTTGACGCTCACCCGAAAACATTCACACCTCACACGATTTTATAGCTCACCGAAAACTTTACAATCAACACTCTTGCAATCACACTCTACACCCTCTAAGTGTTGATCTTTAGCCCGTGTCTCTCTCAAATGCTCGGATTTACAACCTCTCCCTAGGCTTTACTATCGACGCCACTCCTCTTGGGACGACTCCGTCTCTCACCACATACTCCTCTCGGTGTACAAGTATATTACAAAGTGTATCCTCACAATAAAAGCTCAATACAATAATTTGTTTTCTAATATGGATGAGAACATAAATAAGCTCACTCTCAAGGCACAACCCCACAATCCAAATATACTATGTATGAAAATACTAAAAGCTCAATGTGGGTGGGTGTAACAAAGAGATAAAACAAATATAAACTCAATTGAAATCTAGCTTATGGAAATTAAGATCAAACATATAAATTGATAGAATTGAGTTTAAGAAAAACTTCTCTATATGACAAGAGTAGGAGAGATGAAGTTGAAGCCCAAACAAGGAATGTATGATCTCTTCTTGCACTTGTGAAACTTTCTTCACAAAACCGTAACTTGAAACAAAAGTAAACAAAACTTAAACACCCTTTAAACTTGTTTAAAAACTCTCTTTTTTGGTAGCTGAAAATAGTTATGACAAAGGGATATATATAGGATGAAAAACAAAGCCCAAAAACCAAGAAAACCCAGCAAAAAGATAAAAAAATAAAAAGCTGGAAAAACTAACCGTTACAGCATCAGTCGACTAATGAGCTGACCGTTACAGGCAGCTTACAGCTCATCAGTCGACTGATAGATCTCGTCAATCGACTGATGACCTCATCAGTCGACTGATCAATCGACCAAATAAGAAACATAAATTTTTTACAATTTCAGGCGATTTCTTCAGTCGACTGAACACTTGCATCAGTCGACTAATAACATAATATCAGCCTGTAATAAATTGTAAAACTAATTTTTAAAGTGTCTTTAAAAATAACAAATAAATTCAGAAAAATGTTATACTTTGAAAAATATTTATAAACATGATAATAAACATGTTGCAAAAAGAATTTTGGAATTGCACTTCCTAAAAATAAAAACTCATTATTTTACAAAATAGTCCAAAAACATGAAAACTAAACATACTTGTTTTTGACATTTGATTTGAACACACTATTGAAAACTAAACATACATATGTATATAGTGATTGTTAAGTCTAAAAACTAAGAATACAATATTTTCATAAAAATGTATATTCTATGTAATATTTTTTAAAACACAATAGAATATGAAACAAATGAGAATGTGTATAAATTTTGTTTGTTGTTTCATATCTATATAGCTAAACCAAAACAAAAATAATAAATATCAAAAATATAATTTCATATTTATATAAACTTGAAAACCAAAACATGTATGTATATATATAACTATATATATACATGGAAACCAAAACTTATGTATATGATTGAGCTTAAAGTATTAAACACACATAATATAAACCTAGAATTAAATTACCCAAGCTTGAAGGTCTTCAATATAGCTCCTCTTGGTAAACTGTACGGATAAAGCTTGAACTTGGATCTTGAACTTGAATTGTATTGCTATACTCCACTATTTTTTCAACCTTTATTGGATATGATCGTGAAAGCTCGATTCCATCCAACCTTCAACTTATCAACCTGGATGAAACACAAACAAATACAAAAAAAAAAAACACTAGAAACAAAATTAGTCATAAATTGTTTGTTAAATCATCATCAAAGCAAAAAGACCAACAATCTTCTCCTTTTTAATGATGACAAACAATTTATCAATATAGTATAAGACTAACGAAACTCATAATAAAAATACTATATACTCACATATTTCTTCCTCTTTGCCAACATCAAAAATGAGGATATAAAAGAATGAAGAGAGCGAAATCCCCCCTACATATAAGCATGGTGAGTATAAAACAAATAATAGGAAAAAGCTCCCCTATCAAAATGCCTTAATGAATATATGCAATGAGGACCAAGGCAAAATATATGTGAGCAAGCATAGATATAGAATACATGCTAAGTATCACTCACATACAACATGATAATGAGAACACATATGGATGTATCATTATGGAAGAGTGTGTCTCAAAACACAAATATAAAAATAATGTATAAAATAGGTTTATGAAATCAAAAAAAAAAGAACATGAGTATCATGAAAAAAGTTTTCAAATGAAAACAAATCACTCAAATAAAATTATAAATCAAGATTTAAATCACAAAAAAGGGTAAATCAATATCAAAATGACAAGAGAGGTAACAATATCAAGCTCTTGAGTTTGTTTTAACCCATATAAATATTTTTAGCACTCGTTAAACATGATTTGGGAAATAAATACCCAATAAATTCGGGGGTTGATCAAACACAAACCTCTTATGATAATGAAAACCAAAAAATCATGAAAACAAAAGAATTGTCCATAAAATTGTTTTAAAAAAAAATGTTTTTCAAAACCAAGAAATGAAAAATAAAAAAACAATAAGAATCATAGTTTTAAAAAAATCAAACTTGTTTTGGTTTTTAAAAAAATCAAACTTGTTTTGGTACCCAATTACTTTTAGTACCTAAGAGTCTAGGGACATGACTTCTACTATTTAAGCTCAATGCCCTAGGGTTATGATCCTTTTTGGACGCATGTGCTGCACGAGATCAGTCATAGCAATAATTACTCAAATGGCTCATCTGATTGCAATAAGGGCAATGAAAAGGGTGCACTTGCTTATGTTGATCATTTATTTGTGCACATGGAATATTTGCAAACAAAAATGGTTTCTTAAAATCTTTTTGCAAATGTGAAACTCTTTTTAAATCAAAATAATATTTGGCAAAATGACCAAATCTTTCACAGTATTCACACTTAAATACATGAGCATGCTTATGATAAATAAAAGATGTATGTTTATGTGAGTGTGATGAGAAAACTTGATGAGGTGCACATGGAGCAATAACATTAGCATTCTTTGGTTTATGTGCATCATAACAAAATTTAGCTAAATGACCTTTACGATCGTAATTAGAGCACTTATAAACTTTGTTATATATATGTGCATAATGAGTGAATGATTTTGACTTATTAGACCTAGCACACATATTCACAAACTTCTTATGATTCTTAATGCATGTGGTAAGGGTTGAATCTAAGGACGAAATGCAATTTTTAACATGATTTAACTCATTGTTTGACACATGCATTGGAAATAGAAGTAGAAAGAGTATGATCATTCTTAAAAGAATTAAATTCATTTCTAATAGTTTTTACCTCTAGCATGACATCATTCTTCTCATGAATTAAGCTAGCAACATTGGAACTTAAGGTAATATGATCCAATTTTAATTTTTTATTATTTTCTTTAACTTAAGGTAATATGATCCAATTTTAATTTTTTATTATTTTCTTTAAGGATCATATTATCTTTAGCAATAGTATCAAATTTAGATGCTATTTAAGGATCATATTATCTTTAGCAATAGTATCAAATTTAGATGCTAGCAATTCATGATCGGATTTTAAAATTACCTAAGACTAGGAGCAATAGGAGAAATTATCTAATCTAGGAGCAATATTAATGGCATAACCAAGACTAGGTGCACTGTGCATATTCATAATTATAATTATATGCAAGCAAGAAAAATGCAAATAAAACTAGATTAGCACAATAAGATAACTTGGATCTTTAACTCAAGACGATTAGACCTTAAATTAAAGAGCACAAAGCTCTGATACCAATTGTTAGACCCTAATGTCACTAGGAAAGAATCCTAGAGGGGGTGAATAGGGTTTATGTTAATCTAATCCGATTTATGTCAAATTAAAAACTTACTAACAAAATATCCTAGCGAGATTGATATTCAAATTAATTATTAGCAAGGATATGTAAAAAAAGGGTAAATAAATAAGAGTGATAGTGCACAAATAAACAATACAAACACACAATATGATCACGGAGTTCTGTCCACTCGACCTACGTTTCCGCTCCCCACTCCCGGGGAGAAATCCACTATTACATCGAGTTTTCGACGCTCACCCGAAAACATTTACACCTCACACTCGG